TTCATTTGCATGTATGCATATATGCAAATAGGGGCTGATTGCCTGCAACGCAGCCTGCCATTCGCACTGTTTGAAAAACCCTGCACCAGCTATTTAAGGCAGATTCCTCTAAACCCAGGCTTGCTTGCACCCCAATTTTATTCCCATCCCATGAGCTAAAGCCAACAGATTTTGGCAAAACAAGGTGCAATGGGCGGGAGATGCCACCCATCCCCATGCACGCTGCGTTGCACTGGCTCTAAGTACTCATCCCTCCCCTCTTGCCCCAAATTTTCCCTTCCCCAATTAAGCAAACCCATTTCCCACAGGATTTCTCGCTCTCCTGCAGATTTCCTCCATGGCAGCTGGATTTTCCTTAAAGCTTTCCACCCAAAACTGCTGCCGTCCCCCAGCCTCAATTGCAGAGCAATAATTCCCTCCTGCACGCCACTTCTGCTAATAACTCCCAGGAGAGATTTGCTTTCTCCTTTTTCTAATAGCACCTCATTGCAGATCCTAATTAACCTTGAGACCTGCTAAAAAAAACCCAATTCTTTCTTATTTTACCCCGTTATCACTTTACCAGCTCTTCCCCATGCTGCACTGTGGACCACTCCTCCAAGCGCAGTAATTGCATGTATTTCCACGGAGAGTTGCAGCAGGGTCTTGTCTTTCCCCAGCAAATCCCAAGCTCACTGGATGAGGAATTTTCCTACAATCCCACTTTTGCAGAGCAGGAGCGATCGCCGGCCACCAAATTCAATGCAATGCCGCCGGAACAGTGCAGCATCCCCCCCAAAAACCTTGCATGATACCTCCCCCATGCCTGGGCACGATGTGCGTTAATGCTCGGGGCCGGGATGCCCAGGTACCCTGCAACCTTAGCAGCCTTCCCAGGGCTTGTGCATGCTAAAAATTCACACCCCGTCTGCTTTTTCATTATTTTTAATCAAGCGGCATCATGGCGAGGGCAGCAGGATCGGCTAATCTCCAGCAACCCCCGCCCAGTGCAGATGCAGGGTTTAATCCGGATTAAGTGTGGCAGGAGAAGGAGATACCGTATTGTAATCCTGCGCTGCAAAGGATTGGAAATGTTTTTTTTTCCCCCACCAGCAAATGCCCAGACCTTCTTTTCCAGCAACAGGCTCGGCTTTCCATCCTGACACAGAACAGATTCATAGAATCATAGAATCATTTAGGTCGGAAAAGACCTTTAAGATCATCAAGTCCAACCATTA